AAAATAAATGATGTCCCCCACTACTGTCTCTGCTGTTGTTCTTTACCTATTCCCCTGATGAGCGCTTTATTATTTGTCTGAATTTGCTGTTCCAAACCAGCCACATAAAACACATTCTGGAGGTGCGGTGTGCTTCCCTCCTGGTCTGGAGTTTGAGGAGGTTGCATTTTACTGCCAGCCTTTCCTGAGGGATGTCTAGGAGGCTGGGAGAATTGTCCTATTTTCTTTTGCCAAGCCACTTTCTCCAGAGTGTCAGTGATGGGGTAGGAGATAATGAATTTTAGTTTGCTCTAAATGTCACTGAAACACATAAGCCATTGTCCTTCCCTTGTCTTGACTCCTTCACTTTTTTTTTTTTTTTTTTGGTACTGTGATTGAACCACTGAGCCACATCCCCAAGCTTTTTTTTTGTTTTTAAATTTAGAGACAGGATCTCCCTAACTTACTTAGGGCTTCACTAAGTTGCTGAGGCTGGCATTGAACCTGTGATCCTCCTGCCTCAGTCTCCTGAGCTGTTGGAATTACAGTCATGTGCCACTGCACCTGGCTTCCTCCAATCTTAGTAAAGAAGAAAGTCTCAGGTTGGTGTTAATCTTGAACACTTCCCTAACACTCTTTTTGCCTCAGGCTCAGAGTCTTAGGTGGGCAACTATTATGGGCTGAATCGTGTTCTTTACATTACACATGTCACAAAAAAAAAAGATATTTGCATTCTTAATCCCTGGTACCTGTGAATGTGATCTTATTTGGAAATAGGATCTTTTGCAAATGTAATCAAGTTGAAATCATTTGTGTAGGTTCTAAACTCCAGTTTGACTGATGTCATTATAAGAGGAGAGGAGACCCAGAATTGGAGATCCAAAGGGAAGACTCCCATGTGAAGTCAGAGGTAGAGATTGGGGTGGTGCTGCCAAAAGCCAGGAATGTCTGGGGCTGCCAGAAGTTGGAAGAGACAAAGGAAGATCCTGACCCAGAAGTTTTGGAGGAAGCTTGGCCCTGCCAACTTGATTTGATCAAATTTGATCTTGATTTCAGATTTCTAGGCTCTAGAACTCTGATAGAATGTTCTGTTGTTTCAAGCCACTCAGTTTGTGGTGATTATTGTAGCAGCCCTAGGAAGCTAACCTAGCACCATCTACCATGTGAACCAAGTCCATGTCCAGTGTTAGTTAAGGTAGCACCATAGAGCAGAGCTGAAGAGCTTGGAGTTTGAGCTGGAAACATATTTATTAACTTTGCAACCATAGGGAAATTTGCTAGCCTCTCTCTTAGTTTCCTCATCCGTAGAGTGGGATGGTCATAGTATTGACCTCATGTGGCTGTGAAGATTATAAGTCAAGACATTTAGTGCTTGGCAAGTACTAAGTACTCAGTAAATATATGCTATTACTATTTTTTGGTCACCTTATATTTATAGAAAATTATACTACTCTTCCATTTACAGTTGGGATATAAAATTTTCCTTGACATTAAATTTGAGATGAAAATTGAGTCAATTAAAACAGGAGTATTCAGTAAATAACATAGCTGGTCAGTGGCTATGGTAAACACTGTGAAGGTTTAATAAAACACTGAGCATTTATATATGCCAGGTACTATTCAAACCCCTCTGCAGGTTTTAAGACATTGCATTCTTGACATCCTTTAGGAAAGTGCTATTATAACTCCCAGTTTCCAGAAAAGGGATTTCTGAGCCACAGAAATGGTAAGGAATCTGCCCAAGGTCACACAGCTGGTAACACAGGCAGCCCAGCTCTTGAAACTGCTATGCTCCTAACCTCTACACAGAATACACAAGGTTTCCAGACAAGAGGCTATTTTGGGACCGCATGGTTGTACAAACCAGATTTTGCTCTACAGAGGTGAACTCAGCCTGATCAGCCTTGAGAGGAAGTATTACCTGTCCCTGCACCCAGCGACTTCCACAACTAGTTCCATCCAATTCTCTATTGGATGTCCAGAGCAGCTTCCAGGAGCTAAATCTCTTTGGGAAAAGTTAAATAGATGGTGTTGACATATAATCTATGGTAAAGTACTGCTCTCTCCAAACCAGCTACTGAAAAAAACCAAGCCTGGCTGACAACTCTATTAAATGAAAATAAACCTGTTTTTATTGTTTCATGCTAAAATACATCTCGGGCTCCACAAGCTCACAGCTGGGGACAGTACACATTTTTGGCAAAGGAGACCTTGGTAAACTCTGCACTCTCACATGGTTGACCCCTCCCTGGAGATGGCATTTTATACACAGGCTTCTAGCACAGTTTTCTTCTCTGCTGATGAAGGATGCGACTGGACCTCTCCAGCAAGGCAGCCCCTTTCCCCTTTGCTTCTTCAGATCAGTCCATGTGGAAAAAGAGCGTACTTAGCACTTCATTATAGTCAAAAACTCAAGCATGTAAAACTCTGGGCTCTGAAAGCATTGAGTGTACCACAGCATCACAGATCACAAAACAGAATCCATATGTAGAGTTCTTTGAAAACGAATGGTAGTGAAGGGTCCTGAAGGGAGGTGGCTTAGGATTTCTGGTTTCCTCTAGAAGGACACATCAAGGCCAAGATAAAATGATTTGACAAAAATACGTGCCCCCTGCCCCCTCCTGCCCACCAGGGGAGACATTATCCAACACTGGAAATTCACATTAGAGATAGTACTAATTCTGTATGGAGCAGCTCATGACCTCAGTTTTACACCAAGTTCTGAGTGGTACAAATCTGAGTTATCCAACCATGAAGACACCTTCTGTATGTTTTTCTTCTTATTAGAAAATTTCTTTTGGTTTTCCAGGATGTAAAGGTGGAACAAATCTCTGATGATTCCCCGTGGGCAGGTAACACCAACATGTACGCAACGGACATTTCAAAGCAATCCATGTGGAGTGTTGTACCAACCTGGCAAATGAGCAAACAAAAAAACTCTCCAAAGTTCTCGGCTTTGAAGTGGAATATACTAAGGAAATAAGCTGCCAGCCCTGGAACTCTATTTTTTGGAACAAAGATATGAAAATCTTGGAAGTCCTTTAAGTGCCCACTTTCCTGTGCAATAATTTTTATGTTGATATATTTTGTATATTTAAGGCTTATTTATACAACATTCCATAATGGCTACACATTATACCCCTTTCTTAAACATTATTCGCAGACATATTAACCCATAAAGTTTTTCTTTTGGTCTATTAAAAACACTGGACTTAAAAAAGAGTAAGCACACACACAAGAATATACAATTTTTTTCTCCTTGGATTTGTTTGTGGAGGAGTGGATTTTTCTACTCATCCATTTTTTTTCTTCATTTCTGCCTAGACAACACCCCCTCCCCCTGACTGAACATCATAATAAATAGCAACAATTTCTGGAGCTGAATGAAACTCAGACGTCATGTTTGAAAACTATTCTAGGGCAAATTTCTGGGCTTCAGGTCATCATTATAATCATTCAAATCCACCTTCCTCTGCTTCTTTTACCATTCCCACCATTTTTTGACCCCTCACCCTTTGGAATCTGTGTGCTCGAGGTGCAGACTTTAGCTTCTGGGTTTGGCTGGGAACAAGTCAGATTCTTTTGTGTTTAGGAAAGTATTTGTTTTATAGGCTCAACAGGCTCAAAAGGAAAAGCTAAATCCCTCAGAAACCCTCCATTCTGAGTCACAGAGAGTTCCCACAGACTTAAAAAATAGCATGTGTAAAAATTAGGAGTGGTGGAGTCTCTGTTGCTCCAGTTGTGACTTGCAGAAGCCAGTGTATGAAGATGGAAATGTGGGCAAGAGGGTCTTCAAGACAAGGCTGTTAATAGCCATTGTGGTCAGTGGCTTCGGGTGACTAAAGGTTATGTTGTTTTCCCTAGATTTTTTTTGGTACTGGGGATTGAACCCAGTGGTATTCTACTACTGAGCAACATCCACAGACATTTTAACTTTGAGACACAGTCTCACTAAATTGCTGAAGCTGGCCTCGAGCTTGCCATCCTCCTGCCACAACCTCCCAAGTTGCTGGGATTATAGGCGTGCACAACCATGTCCAGCTTCCCTGCACTTAACCTTTCCATATATCACTTACAAACTTAAAAATCCTCCCAACTGTGGAATTCTATGGCTTAACCTTGGAAAATGAAGTCATTAAAACTTGTATTCAGGTGGGCTCTAAGGCCTTGAAGTAGTAACACAGATCTAGGCATCTGAAAGCTCATTTCTGTTTCTGTCACTGCTGAGGCTAAGGAGGAGCCAATCTGAATTCCTCCCAGAGAAAATTGCAACCAACATTAGGTCACAGGAGCCAAGAGAGAAAGAATGACTGACATCAGTACTGTCTTTGTCCATGTGTGAGAAGGAGCTGTCTTCATTGAATTATTGTTCCGGAGTTCACGCATACCTCCTGGCTTCTCACCCACCTCTCAGCAGATGCCAGTACTTTGGGGCCTCTTGTTGCTTTTTATCACCTTCTCCTGTGGTTAACTGCGAGAAGGGTATGGTTAAGAAGCCCAAGTTATTCATCCCAATAAAAAAATGGGCGCCAGTTTAAGTTCTGCACGTGACAGTTCCACATGGAAGAAAACATTTCTGTAACTATAAATGCAGTCCTTGCTCTGATGGCGGTTTGGTTGGCAATTAAAAAACAGCATGTGTAAAAATGTCTACAAGCAGGACTGCATGAAGGGCTGAGAATGTCAGTGCAAAACCAGGATGCTGAACTGGAAAACAACCTACACATCCCAGTGATGCTGCATTCCCTTTAAAATCTCTGTTAGGGCACCTCGTGCATTTAAAAATGAAATTCTTATTTTGCTGTCCTTATATCGGGAAAGATATTAAAATGGATATGGTTCAAAAAATTTTAAAGGTATTTATGAATTTACTTATCTGTTGTAAAGTCTCTCTCAGGTCAACATAGATAATCTAAAATTGCTAAGTTGCTGAGGATGACCTTGATGTTGTGATCCTCCTGTTTCAGCCTCCAGAATTGTTGGGATTACAGGCATGCACTACTGTGTCTGGCTAATGGTGGTTTTTTTTTTTTTTTGGTGTGTGTGTGTGTGTGTGTGTGTGTGTGTGTGAGACTTATTTATAAACATAAGAGGATGCACAGTTATAGTTGATTTTTGTGTCTTTCTACTTGAAATAGCTTGTGAAATAGCATTGCAGTCTATGGTATCTGTCTTAAAATGTCATAGATTTTTCTTGTCTGAGGTTCTTTATGTATATGGTCCTTGTTTCCTTGACCACTATTTTCTAATAGACATCCTCTGCATCAAAAGTTATGGGGGGTGGTGGGACAGAATGTAATTGGAATGGAAAAGAATGAGGATGTGGCAGAGGGATATAGGATACTTGGTGGGGAGTCAGAGCAGGGGGTAAAGGTTAGGGGATATTGTGAAGAAGTATTGGCCTCTGCAGATTGAACACCTGAGAGAGAATATTATGGTATCCTTGGTGTTGCTCTAAATCTGAGCTRGAGAGACAGGCCAGACTCAGCTGGAAGGTATTTGATAGCCTTCTCTTCATCCATAAGGAGCCATGCGGTGACAAATTGACAAGACCAAGTTTGGGGCTTTGACAATACCAGTGAGTAAGAGGAGGGGTGGCAGCCTAGTCTAACCTGCAGTGGCACATGCCTCACTTGCTTTTCCCCATCCTTGCCCACCACCCGTTCATACTGGCGGTGAAGACAGATCTGCTCTCTCTCCTATTACCCTCCTCCCTTGGAGGACAGTCAGTTTTTCTGTTCCATTCCTGATGTTCGAAGAATGTCACATGGTCAACACATGTTCATTGAGAGGCTTCCTTCCAAGCAGATTGTTCCCTCCAGAATATCTGTTGAGATGACTACGAAGGCAGGCTCTGCAAAGGTGAGAAAGATTTCAGAATTTGTTGTGTAAGAAAGCAGTCTGGGAAGAACTAAAAATTTTTAACATTCTTAAGCCTTTTGGGCAGGAATGTTTTTGTTTGATTTTGATTGATTGATTGACTTTTTGCCCAAGAGATGCTGCATCCTCAATCTGTCCTATCAGGAGGTACATGGAAATAGCATCTATTTCCCCAGTGCTGGTGATTCTAACATTGGCCTTTTAGTGAAAGTAGTTGCCTACCAGATTTCTCCAGGTAAGGCTGCAATTTTCCCCTTTGTGATTAAAAAGTATCCTGTGAGGAGATACTCTGAGGTTCTTTAAGCTTGCACCCCCTAGTTTCAGCACCCATTGATTTGTTTAAAAAAAATTTTTTTTAGTTGTAGATGAACACAATACCTTTTTTGTTTATTTATTTTATGCGGTGCTGAGGATGAAACCCAGTGCATTACCCATGCTAAGCAGGCACTCTACCACTTAGCCACAACCCCAGATCCATTGATTTTTGCATGAACCAATTATTACTGCAATGGTTGCTGAATGGTGATTGCTAATTTCACTGACTGTCTGCACCTAGTAGTTGGCACACTACTGTGAGGAAGAGCTTTCCTTTCTTCCCATTTCCTTATTTATATCAAGAGGAACTTAGGGATTCTATGGTTGATCCTATGGTTTATTATATGTTATTGCCCCAAATGAATAATCTGTGTCTAATGATGAAGAAATAGCAGACCAATCAAACTTGTGAGACTCTTCAGAAAATAAGTAGCCTAGGGCTGGGGTTGTAGCTCAGTGGTAGAGTGCTTGCCTCTCATGCTTGAAGCATTGTGTTCGATCCTCAGCACCACATAAAAATAAATAAATAAAATAAAGATATTGTGTCCATCTACAACTAAAAAAATATATGTATGTGTATATATATATATATATATATATATATATATATATATATATATATTCCTCAAAATACCAAGACCATGAAAGATCATGAAGCTCAAGCAATGGTTCCAGATGAAAGGAAACTAAATAGATGTGACAATTGCATGCAGTATGTGGATCTGGAAGGGACCCTAGACAAGAATTCTGCAATAATTTTTGTATAAAGGAAAGGACTAGGACAATTGAAAAAGCAGTGGGGCAAATGAATAAGATCTATAGACTAGTTAATAATACTACATCAGTGTTGACTGCCTGACTTTCTTACTTGTATTGTGGTTACTACATAAGAGGATATAATTGCTTTTAGGAAATGTACCCTGCAATATTTAGGAATAAATGGGCATTTGTTCTTCCACTTACTCTCATATGGTTCAGGGAAAAAAAAAATCAAAATGAATAAAGTAAAATGTTAACATTTGAGGAACATAGTGGATGGGTACACAGGAATATTTTGTATAATTTTAGCAAACATTTATGTAAGTCTGAAATTATTTCAAAAATAAGTTAAAATTCATAAGCTCCCAGAATTTCCCTGAGGCCCTCAAGTATTTTGATTACTAAATTCAACCTACATCCCTGTTGTCCCCATATACATCACAATGTCACTCCTTCACTGTGCAATCTTTTGTCCCTTTTCTCTTCCTCAGGCAGAGAATGTTCAGGAGACAGTGCAGGCAAACCCCTCTGCTAGCTTCTTGTGAGGGGAGGGCAAATGTGGAATGGGTGTAACAGGAATGAGTTGGCCTCTATGATTTTGTTGCCAGTGCTTGACTAAACCTCCTCTGGTTGTTGCCCTTCTGTGTGGAAATAAAATCCAAACTGACTTTGCAGAAGGAGGAAAGAAGAAGACTGAAAGGATATTGGGAAATTAGCCTGAAAAAAATTTATTAAGACCTGCATTCTACACGCTGTGCCTTAGAGTTTGTCCACAAGCAAGTTTCCACGAAAACCCAGTAAAACAAGAAATAGGTAGGAGTTTTCCGTGTCCTGCCTAATTTATTTCATCACGAGCCTGATGTTTTTTTCTATCCAGGACTCAGGCTGATGTAACAGGCTAGTTTGCTATTTGGGGAAACTACTAATGATAATAATGATCACAGCCTCATTCTTTGGGATGTGGCATGAGACTATCAGGTCTTGCATGCAACGTTTATGAAAGTCGTTCCCAGAATCATTTCTCCAAAGGTAGAACTATGATCTGTGGGCTCCAGGAACTGAATATACTAAAGGGGCCCAACCTTTCAAGAAAGCCCAGTTCAAAACTGGGCTTCTCTGAGCTCTCAGGGGCTGCAAGCACACTGTATCATGTGCTCATCTGCTAATGTGCTCCACTTTGCCCAAGCGCAAGTAAGAGTTGACACAAGCTCCAGGTGTCTGCTTTGCATTCAGCAGGAGAAGCAGGCAAGAATACCAAGCCCCAATTACACAGATGCACTTTTGAGTCTCACCACATCAAGAAGTTACAAAGGGTTTGGAGTGTTGGTATCTTTTCTACACATCACTGACTATGGACAGAAGTCTCACTTTATTGTCACAAATTCGAGCCCTTAAAGGAAAAGGTGGGCTGTGTTTGACATACCCTGCTTTTCTTCCTCGTGCCTAAGATAGTATCTATGTGGATGTTGGGCATCTGCCTGCAGAGAAGAGCCAACCTGTCCCCATCCCAGCAATGGCCACTTTTCTGCACATCTGTCCTGGTGTCAGCAGCTGGGAAGACTGTCCCTCTTTGACGGAAAGCAAGATTATTTGAGATGATCACATCTAGACCCCATGAGAATAGTGGTGGTTTGTTGGCTCTTTTAACTACACTTACTGTGACATAGCATTTCCCAGAGAAAGTGCAGGGGCAGGGAAGTAGTAAGGAAGTAACTGTCAAGGGAAGGCTGGCCGCCACAGCAATCGTATGTTCCAGGTTGTGTTAAATGATGTAGAAAGAGCTTCTGCTCTAAGATCGCCTGACATTTTAATAGGTACCTGAGAATCCCATCGAGGATAGAAGATGTGAATTTTCCCAAGGCTGGTGTTGTGTAGTGTGGGGGCAGCCCTCATTAGTGCTGTCTACAGGTCCGGGTGTGGGAGGCCAACCTTACACGAGACTGAGTCACGCTCCCGGCTGGGTGCTGAGGCGCTCAGTCGCAGAATGGGTGCCAGGGTCGGTGTCTCGTGCATGGGTGTGTCTTGCTACAGCCCCATGGGTGAGGCTACGCTCACCTGTTCCTTTGTAATATAACCCCTTGCCGGGCTGGGGATGTGGCTCAAGCGGTAGCGCGCTCGCCTGGCATGCATGCGGCCCGGGTTCGATCCTCAGCACCACATACAAAGATGTTGTGTCCGCCAAAACTAAACAATAAATATTAAAATTCTCTCTCTCTCCTAAAAAAAATAATAAAATAAAATTCTCTCTCTCTCTCAAAAAAAATGTTTAAAAAAAAAATAACCCCTTGCCCTGTTTAGGATGAATCTTCCATGGAAGTGCCTTGTGTGTGTCCGCTTCTCTTACTGTGCCCTTGGGTGTGGCCTATCCAGGTGTCAGTCAACCTGCTGACAGTGGACATCATGAAGATACTCAGCCCCCTGAAACCTGACCCCTTGSCTCATTTAAATAACTTCTCCTCAATAAAAGGGGTCAGTGTGTCCTCTCGCTCTCTCTTTCTGCGGACCCTTAAGGTCAGAGGAGCCGTCACAGCGACCCCAAAGAAAAAGGTATTTGTGTCTCTTGTGTGGTTATTTAGTGCAGCCCAGTCAGCCCAGTTTAACTAGAGTGACCCCTGGGCCTTTAAGAAACCTGGCAGGCACCGGGGTTTAGGATTAGGCAGGTGATGATTCTTTGTTTATTGAGATCTCAAGAGACTCTAAACTATGGGGCTGGGGTTGTGGCTCAGTGGTGGAGCACTTGCCTGGCATGTGTGAGGGACTGGGATTCAGTTCTCGGCACCTCATATAAACAAATAAATAAAGGTTCATCAATAACTAATAAAATTAAGACTCTTGACTATTTGAAGTAGCAAATCCCATTGGCTGCAGGATGGCTGCTTTTGTGTCCTGTCTTAAGTGGGGTGGCTGGCAGCAGGAGGGAGTCAGACCATTGGAGTTTATTTCCTAGCCTTGCGACCCCATGGAGGTTGATCTCCTCAGGCCTGAGCTTCCTTGAGAGTAACAAGGGGACAGTAATCGCCTTCCTTTGTATGGTTGTGGTGAGATTGTTAGATGAGTCCATGGAAGCAAAGCACAGAGACAGTATCAACATAAAACAGGAGCTTGTAACTGCCAGCTCAAGTCATAAATTAAGAGACTTCTAAAAGGCTACTCATAATGACCCTGCTTCTTGATTTTTCTCAACGAATGGAAGACTCTGCACATGGAGATAGATCATTRAATGGCAGCTTGCTATCATGCTCTTCACTTGAGTTTCTTTTACCCATAAAAAGCCCGTTTCGGTTTCTTGAATTYGTAAAGTCTTACATACGAATATATAGAATGAGAATACTAATAGTTCAGTATTTACTTTATATGGACATTCAGAGTAGGCCTCTGTAATTATTCCCATTACATTATGAGAAAACTGAGATTTAGAGAGGTGAAGTGACTTGCCCAAAGTTGCACAGCCAGTCATACTTCAGATGTAACTCAGGTGTTCCAATTCTACAACCCAGGCTCTTGATTGCTATACCAGAGAGGGAGAGGAAGGGGAAGGGAGAATGAGAGAGAGAGAGAGAGAGAGGGTGGGGGGGGCACAACTACAGTAAGTATTTTCTAAATGTATAAATGAGTATGGAAATTCAGTAAGTGTATCCTAATGAAAACAAAGGTGATTACATTTTATGCTTTGTCTACACAATTCCAAATGATGGTTCTGATTTTTATTCACAAAATGACTGACAGATTTTTGCCTGTGGCACAGTCTTTGCTTTAAMGGGTTGCAAGGATCAGCCCCTTTGGAAGGTGAGCTCTTTGGATCCAGCATTCCTAGAATGCTGGTGCCTGAGCCCAGCCCCTTGCTTTAGAGCTGGGGGATGGGGTGAAGAACAGGGCAAGACCTGCCTTGCTGCTTGTGAT